TTACTAAAAGGCAAATAGGAATGGAATTTGCACCCTGCAGGGGCAGTTTCTTCTCAGCTGGGTGAACGGGGTGACATTTCCCTTCAACCCGATCACACGCAAATAATAATAATAAAAGTAAAATAGGATTTTTTTTCCTTGCAGATGATTGGATATCGGACGTCAGCTCGTTCACTAAGCTAGAACTTCCCCTGCAAAGTGAACAGCCAGTTTGTCTTCAGCCAATGAACACCGGGGGCCCGATACATGATATTACAGCTTGAGGAATTGGGGCCCTTTTTTTTGGTCTTTTACTATAAAACACACAAACCTAAAAAACAAAAAAATATTTAAAAATACCGTGTGAAAAAAAACACAACCCCCCAATAAAAGGAGTTTGATACGGTCGGGAAAATAAAGTTTTCGGTATGATAAATCCCAAAAAGGGGAACATTTAAATTCTGCCAAACAAAAGAAAAACGAGCAGAAAACTGAGACATCAGCAACCAATCGGGTCTCATCTCAATCAACCAATCGGATCTCGTCTAAATCAACCAATCGGGTCTCGTCTCAAGCAACCAATCGGGTCTCGTCTCAATCAACCAATTGGGTCTCGTCTCAATCAACCAATCGGGTCTCGTCTCAACCAATCGGATCTCGTCTCAATCAACCAATCGGGTCTCGTCTCAATCAACCAATCGGGTCTCGTCTCAATCAACCAATCGGGTCTCGTCTCAATCAACCAATCGGGTCTCGTCTCAATCAACCAATCGGGTTTTGTCTCAATCAACCAATCGGGTCTCGTCTCAATCAACCAATCGGGTCTCATCTCAATCAACCAATCAGATCTTGTCTCAATCAACCAATCGGGTCTCGTCTCAATTAACCAATCGGGTCTCGTCTCAATCAACCAATCGGGTCTTGTCTCAATCAACCAATCGGGTCTCGTCTCAATCAACCAATCGGGTCTCGTCTCAATCAACCAATAAGGTCTCGTCTCAATCAACCAATCGGGTCTCGTCTCAATCAACCAATCAGATCTCGTCTCAATCAACCAATCGG